CCACACTAAGAACGAACATCAGTATTTGAATACAAAATCAAGAGTTGGGTAACGATAAGTACATGATACGTAATGAGGAGCAGAATTTAATGGGATATGTCAGAAAAAATATTTACAAAGAACATATAAACAAAATGATGTACAAATATGTAAAACTCGAAACGAAATTGTGGCTTTTTAATTTCAGTTATAAGTAACAAACTGTTGACATCCAGGTTTCTGTAAATAGAAATGACATCTAAATTGACGTTGCCAATAGCGAATGGGTGTGACAACCAATACAGGTGATTACAATCACAACCGTTCATGGAGCCGCAAATCATTGCTTCCAAACTAAGGTAGCATAGTACATTGTCAGTCGCTGAGGGATGACAAATAAATTTAAATCATACTTTTTAGTATCATTTCTTTTTAATTTCATTTTAATCCGAATTTCACTTTAACTAAAAGTTTGGACTTAATTTCCTACATCTGAAACCGGTATCAATATTACTGGAAGCCCTAACAATGTTAGAAGGAATTGTACACAGTTTATTTCAATTTAACTATGCTTTCTGCGGAAGAACAGCATGTAAGACGTGAGTGACATGTCATGAGTAGAGGTAAAGTTTGGTAAGTTAACAGTACGATTTAAGGTTTCATAGACTTTTATTTTACGAATTTGCATAGAGCAATGATAAACGGAAGACACAACTGATTGCATCCATATAATCAGTGTGCAAAAAAATAAATTACATCGCACGATATACTGCTGTTTCGTCTTTGTACGATTCACCGGTTATGCTAGGGGCAAAACAGATGAAGATCCCAAAGTTGGTCTATACTGCTGTTGAAGTGGAAGTGTAGCTACGTGAGTCCCCTTGAATTTTGACACAAACACAACATGTTAGAACATCAACGATGGGGCCAGTATTCAAGAAAGGTAAACAGTTCTCTTTCTCAAACTCAAATTCTTTGTTAAAACAATTTACTTTTCCGGTCCTTTACTAATTTAAAAATGATACATTTTGTCAGTCAACATATTTGGACGAATTTGGGAGAGACTTCAAGTCGCGTCTCCAATGCTCGCAATTGACTATCTAACCATGTCACAGGATAAAAGCAAGCTACAAGAAAGGTAGTTTGAGCACAACATCTTTACTTGTGCATGAGAACGGTTTTATGGATACCAAACCGTTCTCATGCTCAAGCATGGATTTTGCGCTTAAACCAAATTTCGTGTAAACATTGAAATCAGTTCCGCTTTTATGTATCTAAAATTGTTTTCCAAATCATTGACAAAATTGGATATTATGAATAAGTTATAAACGGAATAAGACTTCGCCCAAAATCCATGCTTAAGGATGAGAACGGTTTCATGAATACGGGCCGGTCTATGATATATATACTACTCACATTTTGCTAAGGATCACTTTTATTTTTGGGCATATGTGAAAAAAAATATCTCATTTGGTTTATACTGAGATTATTTTTGAAAAATTTATTGTTCTGTTAAATCATCAGCATGCAAAAATTCCAAATATCGTAATTGCAGTTGGAAAATAAGCCACAGGAAAAGAGTCACTTTTAAAATTGGTAACAACGAGGTATAATCACCAAAAAACTTAAATTGAACAAAACTCATCCAAAATAAACAGAAACTGTTTTAGTATCGAGTGTAACGCCCATGACAATCAATAACAGCTTCAAAACGTCTGCGCATGCCCCGAATGAGACCGCGTATCCGGTTTTGTGGGATAGCGTTCCACTCAGCTACCAAAGCTGTTCCCAGCTCCTGGAGCGTTCTTGGCTAAACATTTCTGGTAGAGAGAGCTGTCTGCAGCATGTCCCACACATGCTCGATGACATTTAGATCCGGCGAACGGGCTGACCGATCCATTCGTTGAATAGTCTCTTGCTGTAGATACTGCTCAGTCACCCTTGCTCTATGTGGATTAGCATTATCGTCCATAAGGATGAAGTCAGGGCAGATAGCGCCAGCGTAGGGTCTGACATAAGCATCAAGGACTTCATCGCAATAAATCCGGGCCGTCACGGTTATATTATCATTGGGGTGTCATTTTTACCGAAAATCCCTAAAACATATATATGTCCAAATATAGCTGTAACAAATTATCAGGTCCCTGTGGTCCCAAGCGCTGGGAAAATAAAAAAAAATCCGTTCTCAAGTTGTTCTCATGTCGTTCTCATACTGACAACCAATGATAATGCATTTATCATCTTACCGGTAGGTGGTATTTATTAAGTAGTATATAGATAAAAGGTTGTTATCACTAGAATTCTGCCGATTGATACTTTAGGCTTTTAGCACTAGATTTTCACCGATTGATTTATTACGTTTTAATAACTAGATTTTCGCCCATTATATATAAGGTTTTTATCACTAGATTTTCACCCATTAATATATAAGGTTTTTATCACTAGATTTTCACCCATTAATATTTACGGTTTTTATCACTAGATTTTCACACATTAATATATAAGGGTTTTATTACTAGATTTACGCTCATTGAGATATTAGATTTTCTCTTTTATATTATCCAATAGGATAACAACACGAACACAAAAACTGTATTTCCCATCGACATAGGCACTGACCGATGTTTATTTAGTACCACCATGATTAATAAACACAATTACACAATAATGTACATCTCACACACAAACATATAACTCCTAACCTATTAATCTCAATGTAATAACCCCATTTAAGAATTTAAAAACCGACGTGTGCTAATTCCTACCGTCAACCGGTTGAAATTATATTTATCACTAGACATCCATCGATTAAGTTTCTGTACAGCGGGAAATTCTCGCCGCCGTTGAATTTGGAGTACGTTTATATTCATTTATTCTGAATCAAAATCATCTTCCAACAGCATCTGTAATATCGTTATAAATGATCGAGGAACTGATTTACGTTTTAACATATTCATATCGTATTTTACTGCGGTTTGAAAGTCTCCCTGCGCCACCCTCTCAGTGCGTGCATGCTCTTATTGAACCTGTTCGTTTATATTTAAATCCAAATGTGAACAGAAATATCTGATTAGAGGTATATATTTTGATGCTTATAATTCTTACTTGCGATGTATTGTGTAAATTCAAGAATGTGTTATGTGTGCACTTGACTCATAACTGACACTGTGTTGTCGGTCGACAGCGTAGTGCTGTACATGTTCATTTCTCACTGAAAGGCCCGGATATTGCGTTATTTCGATCGTAGCTATTTTTATCACCGGCTCTCCCAGAAAATAAACTGACCACACTTGACGTTTGCTTCAGGTCATGTCATTATCAACTACGTAAAGTTTCGTTAGAAGATATATATTTTCAGTATCGACTCGATTTTCAGGTTGTCATTTGACTAAATAGACCCCATAACAATGTTCATATACAAATATAAAATCGCAATAAAAATATGTCTTGCAAAACCTTTCCAAATAAATAATAACTGTATTTGTTTCTTGTCATGAGAGCGAAATCCATACGGCCCTGTTATAACGACTTCGTATTGAAAAACCATGACATGGTCGCATTGTTCGGAAGCTTATACATATTCTATTCTGTTAAATTATTACAATTACAATATTTTAAAAAAAAATAACACAAAAACACGAAATTTGCAGACCTGCGATGTTTTACATTATGGATTGTAAATAAATACTTAACCATTGATATTCGTGTTTCATCAGGCTATTCTATACATCATTCCGTCCCTCTTAATCCCATCCTCGATATCCAGGGGTTACGCTCACTTTCGCTCTCAACACCCCTAGATTATGTCATAGCAAAATTGAAGGCACGCGGCTAGCTATTTGATTGGTGTCAGGTAAAAGAAACCGGACCAATCACTAGGCTGATATTTGTCCTTTGAAGATGACAAAGGGGCGACGCCCGACTTCAAAGCCTGTCAATTTGTACCGTTATGCGACCGCGAGATTCGTTTGATGTACATCAAAGAACCAAACTAGTCTTCTCGTCTCATCCACAAGGTGCTGCAAATTGAGCCTTCGATTTTGCTATGACATATTCCAGGGGTGCAGAGAGCGAAAATTAGCGTATCCCCTGGATATCGAGGATGTCTTAATCTTCAATAACTAAATAACTACTCTAATACTCTCAATAACTATTCTTAAAAACATACATATGTTCTCTACTTCTAGAGCATACACTGTCACAGTGCTCTATATGTAACCCTGATTTATTGGTACTAAGAACTATGTTAAGAAGTTGGAATAATACGAGGTTGATTAACTAGCAGAGCCAGGAACACAAAAATAGAAATGGTTCATTTGAAATATGTAACAAAAGAATTATGTAAAAAGTCAAATGTGGTAAGAGTTTCGGTAAATCGTAAAACCAAGGGCAAAGTTTAGGTAATCTTAGTAGAAAGACACACACAGATAGAATCTTTGGTATGAATAAACCACTCACCACGTGATATGTCGTTAGACAGAGACACTTTGACGAGAGAATGAAATGGAAACTTACAAGTCACTGCTTCTCCCGCACGGGTGTACTCTCACACATCTTATTTTCAGAATATATATATAATGGCGGTCACTCTTTCACACCTTTTGAGATAATAACAGTTTGTTAATACGTGCAAATAATAAAACTAATAATAACGTCCACATTCAGTGTTTGGTGATATATATTTATCAAGAAACCCGTGATCTTGATAACTAATTTAGTCTTGGGATTAAATACACGAACTCAATTAGGATTGGGTTTCTTTCTCTACAGAGATTTTCGTTTCCTCTACTTTGTAGCATTACACCTTTCATTATATAAAATATGTTAAGTGGTTAGTATATTTTAGATAATAGATTTATTAGTGACTATCAATCATGTTATTGTCCACAATATTGAATTCAACTATCAGTTACTCTTCATTAGTATAATAATTATAGCTTCGAGAACATAAAAATATTCAAATTCAATATTCAAAACTATGTTTTGGAATTTGTCTTTTGCCAATCAGATACTTTTAATATTTAAAAGTCAACCGGTTGGTGACAAGTCGAGGAATTAGATCCGCGTGATTGTAGAAAATCGAATACGTTTCTGTAGACTCTCGGATATTTGTGTTGGTTGTGCAGACGATAACAAATATCACATAAGATGGATTTTATCACTCCAGAACTTGTTTCGGGGTAGAAATGTTTTTTCCAGTGAAAATATTTCTTGTACTCTTCAAAATTCTTGTTCAGGTATTTGATGCGGTCTGCTAGCGACTTGACGTTTTTAAAGTCTTTTGTATCTAGGTAAGAAGTTGGAGGCTGGAATAAGGTCCGATTTGCAGCATCCCTAATGATTGGAACAATGTTGTGACGTAACACAAGATGAAGCGACTTTTCTGTGACGTAGTCATCACACAAACTGTTCTCAAACGATAAATAGAACTTGTACTTACTATCCAAAACATCAAAGCAGTCTTTTGTTTTGTTCACTCTCGGCGTTATGTTCCACACAGCATTGAACCGGTTTCCTGATGTGCAATGATGATGCCCACACCTCCCATATATGTCAACGTCGATACCGTATTTGCGTAGTTGCTTGATATAATCTTCCCTCTGAGATTGAGTATAACAATTGCTAATGAAGCCTACGGCAGTCTTTGTCTTCGCTTTAAGTATCCTATCAATTGAACTTTCGTTGAAGGGCGAAGAGGTTTTTGAGAATTGGCCGTGTACAAACGTGAAATCCGAGTCACGACGATAGGTTATTGTCCAGTTAAACAGATTACGATGGCAAGTATTATTTAACGTTTGGTATTTCATTGGCGACTCATGTTCGAACATAATCCATATCTGCCCTTTTTTGCTCTTCTTCTGACAAAGAAACCTCACTGCTCTAAATATAACAGCGTCGGCTTGTTTTATGTATAAACGTTGTTTTGTCACAACACAATTAGAAACTGGACATTTAGTGAACACGTCCGAGGTGTCCCATTTCTTTCCGATCCAGTCATTTAACCAGGGTTGTGGATTCCAAAACAGCATTGTCTTATTCAAAATATCCTTATTCCTGTGTTTTCTCACCTTGGAGAAAGACATATTATATATAGAGTGATGCTGTTTGTCGAATTTTGGTTTTTTGATCTTAGAGTACATAAAATCGACATCGACATGTAATTGCTTACAGAGAGTTATACATAGCAGTACTGTAAGAAGTATTATCACCTGACGTCGCTTCAATCTTTTAATGGTTAGCATGGTTTCTGAAACAAAAGAAAATTGGATATTTGAGAATGAATCAATTGCTGTTGAAATACGATCAGAAAGATATTGTGATAAATATGTGTGCAGACACTAAATGTTAAACAAAGTGCTCTCCCGAGTCCGTTTGGGCTTGCAGTGCACTCCGTTAAGTTTCCAGGTAAACTCTGTGTGGCACGAGAAATACATTTCGTTTCGTTATATTGTGAGTAAAGGATCTGTAAATTGTAGTAACCAATGGCACGTGAAGTCCGTGCGTTACGTATACAAGTGTGTAAATGCCTGGGTTCACCTGGGGGTTCACATCGAGGTATTTGTTACACACAGAGACGGACGTTCAACGTTGGCTCCGTCAAATATATTTTTTTAAATTTAATTAATTGGTTTTGTATGTGTTTTATTGATATTATTATTATCATTGGTGGGTTCTTTTGCTGTACGTGCAAATTCAGCAAAGGGAGTATATGCAGATCGTGGTTGTCGAATGTTGGTATGAAGTATATAACAGTTTTAAGAATAATTTAAGACAAGTGTTGAGTGTATGGTTGAGATGAACAGTTGAAGTTAATATGTATAGGGTAGGATAGGTCTGAATTGTTTATAGTGTTGATGCTAATAATCGTTTTTGTTTGTTGTAGTGTTGTGAGGGGATCAGCCTACGGAGGAATGCGCAGGGACATGAACAGTGTGGACCTTGGTGATATGCGTATTCCAATGTGGAGTTTTGTATTCAGGAACGAGAGAAGAGTAATATTCAACATGTAGTCATTGTTCAATTTTCAATTTACGGTTTCGTGACACATCGATATACATGAAATTACTTGTAACAAACGATACCTGATTAGCTAATTATAGTGTATAAAAGAATTACAGTCTTTTTGTTGATTCTTTACTGACGATTTATAGATATGAAATAATTTATATTCGTATGAGGAACGAAGGAGAATATAAATACATATTAACAAACACTGGCTTCTGTGAAATCAGAACTCGAAATTGATAAGAACAGTAATTGACAGGAATTTTCTTTTAATCTTTCAATCTAAAGATAAACATACGTTTCATTTTATTCTATTATCAATACCTATCATTTGTATCTTTTTACAACGATGTAAATTATCTGTTTATTGTCTGCTGTAACCTTAACCGGTGGCTTGACCTTGACTTACTTTTTTTATTTCAAACATATGTTATAGCGAATTAAATTTGAACAAGGGATTGGACACGAGTTATTACAACTTATTATCATATGTTTACTCAGAATATGAGTGGNTACGGAGAACTTCGTCAAAAGTATGAAAAATACACACACTCTAATTATTTTCCTGTTGACTTGATTTTTTGTTACTTGAACATATGATAAAAAGTTTATAATATGACCATTTTGATATCATATCCCTTATCAGCCCTCGGGGCCTTTGGCCCCTCGGGCTGATATCATCGGGACTCTCGGGCTGATAAAGGATATGATATAAAAATGGTCATATAATAAGCTCTAAGTATTGCCTTCTCCCGTCATACAATAGGCATAAACATGAAGTAGATAAATACACAACATAAAAACACCGTTCAAAATATGTTACTGAATTGCTGAAATGATGTGCATGTCTTAAAACTGAAGTGTAAAGGTCCACTGAAAAGTCTGAACTGCAAAACAAAAGAAGCTCTAAATTTAAATGTGTAGCTTAGGCATTCAAACTTTGATAGATAATACGCCTTTTTATTGCCATTGGCTTTACCTTTTGTCATATCACTTCGTTTTTAACAACAAAACATTTTAAATTGAATACGTAAATTAAAATATATCGCCTCAACTATACGCAGCAAAACAAAAGAGAAATATACAGATACTTACGTGCGCTTTGGAAAGGATCACAGCCTTCTGTTAACATCCTTACACACAGGACAACGTGTACTGTATTACAACGTTATGCGACCAAAAGACCAACACGTTTTACGCTACATGTACCCTCCAGCATTGTGTCCCATCTACCAACTTAATGATTTCTGATTTACTTTACCGACTCCATTTAACATGTAAAAGCTTGCCTGGAGCATTTAAAACTTAAATATCATTTTACTTCAGTGGATAATGAAAAGTGGCTTAGAGATTTACATAATGACTGTAATTGTGATACCAGCAATACGTTGAGACCATACAGATAGTACAAAACTAGTAATTACGCGGAAACGAATACCTCGAGTATCATGGATTACAGGTATAGACAGGCGTTAGCTAAATTTCGCAGTGGTAATTGTAAAACTAAGCATTGATACTGGTCGGTATTCTCGCCCTAAAATACATTTAGAAGATAGACTTTGTACATTTTGTATTTTAAACTGTATTGAAGGAATGCCATTTTCTGATTGTGTGTGATTTTTATTCTGATATCAGAGCTCATCTTTTTACAACAGCAGAACAGATTGTACCAGGTTTTAGCTATTTTAACACTGTACAGAACTTGTTGTCTTAATGAATGAACCTATTTCACAATATGTCCTGGCGAGCATATTTCATAAAATGTATCGTAGAAGAATGTGTTTTTAATATTAAAGGAATAAGCTTTTTTTAGTATCTCTGTACTATTTTTTAGCATTAATATTAGAAAATATATTCGTGCTCCACTGTATGTTACCAGAACGACGGATGACACGGTGTAGTGTAATGGTAACATAACAAGTACCAATTAACCAATCGTATTAATGCAAAATGATTGAATAAAGACTGTTTGTACAACAACACAGTTCTCCTTTTTGGTAGCTGCGATAAAAGGTGTTTCAGGTAAAAGAAGATTGACAGAAACTTCAAGGTAAATATGTTGTGTTTTGTATGCATCCATTGTTTCTATAAATATAGGTGAAGTTTTTGTTTGTTCTGAAACACTTTGTGAACGCCAAACAGCTTTGTATATTATGGAATTGTGGTTTAAATGATTGCTATAGTACACGGTATGACAAAGTGTAGTTATTTAGACATGTCTTATATCGTTATAAGGTTTCTTGAATATGCTCATATGTAAGCTAAAAGATAAACAAACACGAAATGTATGTACAATATATTTTTAATTTACAAACATTCGTAGTCAAACACTATGACAGAAAACTGTACAATAAAGAGTGCAATACATTTATAAATCAACTACATCGCTCGCATTTATCCAAGATGTGAACTTCATGGGCCTGTAAAGCCATTGCACGTACAACTGCTTGCTTTTCCTTTGCCTCTTGTTTTAAGGACTTTTTCAATTTTCCACATATCATCGTCTTTAAGATCGACTTTCTGCAGTTCTGCTTGATAAAATGTACCCGTGATTTCATCACCACTGTAGTCTTTTACTCGGTAAACCGGCACGGATTGTCTACAGAATCGTTTAGCTGTCGTAAATATTCGCGAGTAAATACATTTCTCAAATATGTAATACGCACACGGTCGCCGAGTTTAAATTTGAATCTCGTCTTCTTGTTTGGTCTTGTGCTTTTTGTACGTCTGGACATATACGTATCCAACCTCACAGTTTCAGCATTGACTAAAGTTACATCAGCAGGCGCCATGTCAATAGTATTATGTATTGTTTGGTAATAACCGTCTGCAAAACTCTGCAGTTTGTCAATCCATTTTCCCTGTATTTTTCAACCCTTTCAGCTACGTTTTCCTTGTTATCCTTTTTAACCTGTTAAAGTATTGATCTTCTTTAGAATCCTCCTCATCATATTCGAAAATATTGGAGTCGCCAAAGATATTACGCTTTTGTTTCTTGGTCTGATTCCTTGCTTCGTCCATATCAACATGCAGTTGTCTTTTAAGAGTATTGTTCTCGGGGCACCATCGTTTTTCTCGAAAATCAGACCGCAATCGTCACAGGAAGGCATTTCGAAGGGTTCTGTCGCAGTGTTATTCTCAGGTAACTGTTGTGTGTGGTTGTCCGGTCGATTTGTACAGGATCCTCTTGAACCTCTCTTGGTGTACGTCTGTCCTGATGAACTGCTTTCAAGAAAATGAGGTTTGGTAGCACCTGGTTGCTTCTTTATATCCTGTGCCTTGTCTTCATGGTGGCCATTTAATACGTCAGTGCGCAAGACATTTAATATGTGGATACATCCATCCTTTCTATTACAATAAATAATTATATATTTACAATGCCATTTGGGTCTACACATACACATAAAACAATAAACATACTTATCACCATAACACATACACAAGACAGATATAATACATACATGTACTCCTGTTATTTACTTAAATATCAAAACTCTTTCAGGTTTTAATTAATTCTTTACGGGTCGTAAGTTTACCCAGATATGCTATTTATATTAAATGCTTTTTTTCTCAAATATTAAGGGGAGACCACTTTTGGTTAAACTTATTCATTGTGTTATTGAAAGAAGACATCTTTTTTTCAATCTGTTGTCTTTTTCCACCATTGAAAGACGGTTCAATATTTTTGAATCGACATGTATAGATATAATATTTAATAATCAGTATGAGATAGGTTATGATAGGTGGACCCTTTTCACAAAAAAATAACACATCCTTGATATTCATATGATCTATAATGATAATATTGTTATTCAAATCATTCACCCAAGCTATTAAATCATTCCATATATTATTTATTTTCACACAGTTAAAAAATAAGTGTTCAGTTGATTCTGGTGCATCTCTACAAAAAGTACATAGATCCTCATCCTTAACATTAATTTGGTAAAGAAAACTGTTTGTTGTTAATATTCTATGAAGAATCTTAAATTGTAGATTTTGAAGTTNTCTATTCCATTTTTCCTGCCTTTCAATTGGATAATGTTTGTAGTTAGCAACAATCGCTTTATAAACATATCTAAGATCTTTTGCTTGAAGAAGTCTTCTTAAAGGATTACTGTTTTCTGATTGATTGTTGATCAATGGTTGTTGTCGTATTATGTTTAAGTTTTCCCTTGGAATGTGGTCTATTACTGAAAAATATTGT